ATTTCTAGCTGTCCCACGATGCTTGAACAGAGAAAGAGCGAAGCTGTACCACTGCACGCATGACAATTGGAAATCCTTCATTAAAACGGACGTCTTACAAGCGAAATCTATAATTACATAAAATTGTATAAAAAGGAATATTTCTATAGGCGTGACCGTTTTAACCTTCAGCCCAAATGCACAGTACAACCAGTTTTACCACCATTTCGAAGCACACAAAACAAAACATAAGCTTAAAAATAAAATATAAAGAAAAACCATTAAAACCCTTTTCATGATGCCAAGTCAAGTCCGAATTTACGTGTACAAGATTATCTCAGAAACTCGTTAGCCAAAACGCATATAAATAACTCAGAATGTCCTAAAAATAAGTATAACATTATAATGTAAAATATTAACCTTGTTTTCCATCTCCACAATGCGGTCTGCTCTTAACAACGGAATCGCAATAACGTTCTCGATCATTCAGATATCCAAAATGGCGGAGGGTCGATTGAGTTTCGAGCAAATCAAATTCATTTTGAACTCAACACGAGTGGCATTTAGAATAATTCGAGATAAATCTAAGACGTACCTTACTATCAACGACATGCGTAACAGACGATCTGGTGGACCACACTCATCAACGAGAGAGGAGGATGCTTTTGCCAAGGCGTTACAGCAGTGCACATGATCACAGAAGAAATCATTACGACGACGTGTTAGCGAGATCGGGATTTCAAGTTGAAGACTGCAACCTTATTCTACGTACCAAGGAAATTTCGTGCAATAAAAGTGCAGGGTAAAATGGGTGAATATGCACAGTTTCTGGGCATGATTCTTTGGACAGATGAGACGACACTTAAGCTGAATGGTACAGTGAATCTGCATAAGTCCGTCTTCTGAAAAACCGAACGTTCATGATGACAAGGCAGTGAATTTGCAGGACAGTTCTTCTCTGAAGGGGCAGTAGTAACTGGTGCCATGAACCTCAACACGCTTCGAAACACCATTTTTCTCTCCGTTCGTTGGCTGTATGGAGATGAGGACTTGATTTTTTCCCTTGTTTCGTAATTAGAATGTGTGAATCAGAAGTTCCGGTCATGTCCCGGAACTTGTTTATCACACATTATATATATATATATATATATAATCCATTATTTCAAAACTGCAGTAGCTCCATAATCCCCATTTAACGGCATCCTCCGTCAGTTCAAATCAGTTGCAACTAATCACGATTATATTTTTTGGTTCTTTCGTTCGCTCCGATTATCACAGAACTGTGTTCCCTTTCGATGTCGGCTTTGGTACGACAATCCAAGAATCCCTAATACAAATAACAACCGCTTAAATTTATTCTTGTGATTTTGAAATACTGCAATCAATTAACCTAATGGGGGAAATTGAATATTTTTTTAAAAAAAAATCACGATTTACTCCTAGTTTCAGTTCAACAGTTTTCAATTTCACACAAACTTGAGGGATGCCAAAAATTAAATTACAAGCAAATAATATTTCTTAACTATTACGCTTAGGTCTATAAAATTGGTAATTAATTATTGGCGATGTGTATATTTATAACCTCTTCAGAATCTCCAAGTGAATTACGTCAAACTATTCCAAATAAAACTATGTTATACAATTATTGCTACCGTTACGTCATCTTAAATTCCTCGAATCTGAGTTTTCAAAACAAATAAATGATGATTATTTCAGGGTGTGTGTTTGACGGCTGCAATTATCATGCCACAAAGTAAAAAACATCGATACGTAGTTGAACTACCAACACTTAGACTGGAGCTTTGCAACTGCAAAATGCATGTTATTCTAGGAACTGTGTAGCAAGGCTGGGGTTTATTTTACAACTTACTGTTTGTCGAAGAACAAAGTCCAAGGTACATTATTTCATCTCCTGTCCACATCCAAGTGCAGAAAAAAAATATATAAAAAATAATTACTCAACTGATATGAATAGAACTTTGAACTAAACTAATCTTTTTGCACACAAACTTAAGTTATATTCTACATAACTTGTATTAGTTTAGCTGCTCACTTTTACTTTTGTTTTAAAAGAAACACAATTTTCGCCTCACCCGGTAACGTTGTACAAACGCCATAAAATCCAATGCTGGCCGACAAAACGGCCAAGAGCTCTAATTGGTCATTCCTGTTGAAACTTCATTTAATTTTCCGCTACGAAAACCTACACAGTTTCAGGGAAATTTTTGAAAGAAGTGTATGACCATACTATTACATTTAAAGGAAATTCACATAATTTTGGTAAATTATGTAAATTTGTGTCCACATTTTTCTTATCCTGGAAGCAAGTTAAGAGCAGATTCAATGTATAACCACTTCCACCAACTTTGACGGTTCCATTACGACAGCAGGTCCACGTGGCGTCACGAAAGTTGAAGTCCACGATAAATTGCCAGATGAAGGTCAGAACCATTGACCCAACAACAGAACGTTTGTCTTTCATTTTGTACGAATATTTTACGTAACAAATCTAAACAGGATGTCAACTGTTTACATAAATAATTCCATGTGGCAAACATCTTGAGGAGCTTATAGTCCTCCGGCCGGACAAGAAATTCACCCAGCACTGGACTCCGTTCTAAGCCAGTTGAATTCAGTCCATACCCTCACACAATATTCCTTAAACATCAGTATCAACGTCATCCTTACAACGCAACGCTACGTCTTCCAAGGAATTTCGTCACGAGCGAATGTTGAAAAGAAAACTTAAATCAGTGGTTCTCAATCCGAGGGGCACCAAAGTGTTCTGTGCGACACGCGCACATTTTTGTAACTTTCTTTTGGGGTGGGGGGTATTCTCAGTACATCTCCCGCATCTCCTCCACCGGTCGGGAAAAATGTTGTCAAGACCGGCCCTGACAGCACGATGGTGGGGTGGGGGGGGGGCCGTCTTTTTGATACCACCACGTGTCCTCATCTTCTTACAGCGGAAAAAATGGATTATTGAACGTGTACACATCTTTTTGGGGGCATCCTGCATGTTGTTTAGACGAAATTCGGAACACTCTGTATAAGAGTTCAAACCGTACCGCAAAGAAAACGCTGCATTTCACTATTACAAAGATCAGCTGGTTAACGCTGTTTAGGGGAATGGTTTCTGTAAAACCAGAGAATTGTACAAGGCAGTAACTGGTTGTAGATTTGTCCTTATCTCGCACTCAAACCGAAGCAAATACATCACGTTACGTGTCGTAGAGATTTATGTCTGCGCCGACTGGCTTGGTTGCATGTAGGACGTATCATACTGACTCACGCGTACAGATTCCAGGTTCGATATACGCGTATCCAACAACATAAATTATACCTGATATTAAAATATTGCTCCAGGAAAAAAAACAGTTTCAAAAATGGTGTTTCACTAATGTCTGATTGCGTAAATAAATAAATAACAGCGTGCTTGTAGCTTTTGAAATAAATGATCAAAAATCACAAAAACTGATCTGTTAACATTTCAACACCAAGGCCAGCGAGTCGAAAATGTGGTCGAATTTTTAAAAAAAACCGGTCCCTATGTTATCCGTCAGGGTCACCAAATTTTTACCACAAGGTTACTTCCTCCTCAAGGTCCACATCGGCCTCTGATTATGGAAACAACAAGCGCCTCTAAAACGTCGGCAAGTTTCAACGACAGTACACGGCGCAACATCCCAGAAAATATTCCTTAAACATCAGTATCAACGTCATCCTTACAACGCAACGCTACGTCTTCCAAGGAATTTCGTCACGAGCGAATGTTGAAAAGAAAACTTAAATCAGTGGTTCTCAATCCGAGGGGCACCAAAGTGTTCTGTGCGACACGCGCACATTTTTGTAACTTTCTTTTGGGGTGGGGGGTATTCTCAGTACATCTCCCGCATCTCCTCCACCGGTCGGGAAAAATGTTGTCAAGACCGGCCCTGACAGCACGATGGTGGGGTGGGGGGGGGGCCGTCTTTTTGATACCACCACGTGTCCTCATCTTCTTACAGCGGAAAAAATGGATTATTGAACGTGTACACATCTTTTTGGGGGCATCCTGCATGTTGTTTAGACGAAATTCGGAACACTCTGTATAAGAGTTCAAACCGTACCGCAAAGAAAACGCTGCATTTCACTATTACAAAGATCAGCTGGTTAACGCTGTTTAGGGGAATGGTTTCTGTAAAACCAGAGAATTGTACAAGGCAGTAACTGGTTGTAGATTTGTCCTTATCTCGCACTCAAACCGAAGCAAATACATCACGTTACGTGTCGTAGAGATTTATGTCTGCGCCGACTGGCTTGGTTGCATGTAGGACGTATCATACTGACTCACGCGTACAGATTCCAGGTTCGATATACGCGTATCCAACAACATAAATTATACCTGATATTAAAATATTGCTCCAGGAAAAAAAACAGTTTCAAAAATGGTGTTTCACTAATGTCTGATTGCGTAAATAAATAAATAACAGCGTGCTTGTAGCTTTTGAAATAAATGATCAAAAATCACAAAAACTGATCTGTTAACATTTCAACACCAAGGCCAGCGAGTCGAAAATGTGGTCGAATTTTTAAAAAAAACCGGTCCCTATGTTATCCGTCAGGGTCACCAAATTTTTACCACAAGGTTACTTCCTCCTCAAGGTCCACATCGGCCTCTGATTATGGAAACAACAAGCGCCTCTAAAACGTCGGCAAGTTTCAACGACAGTACACGGCGCAACATCCCAGAAGACAGTTATATGCTCACGTATTGCATTTACAATTTTATAAATATATTTATGAATTCTGTTCGTTTCCACTTACTTTTGTGCTGTAGATTTCAGTCTACGAGCGTAACTTTTAATAACTTCAGAATGCGGAATAGAAGTAGGTCCTTTGCTCAACATTTTCCACTCACTCACTCATTCTATGATCCAGGACATTCTCTTAAAAGTCGACTTCATATTCGCCCTATCAAAGAACAGCCCACTTTATTTACGAAACCCAAAGGTTCGTCACCGTGTTCACAAAATCCCGGCACCGGGGTCTACCCGATTATCCTGCTTGGTTGGGAAATATATTTTCCCGCACGATCGAAACCCCGGATAATACACAAAACTTAAAGAAAAACACACAAATGCAACAACTACATAAATGTATTTACATTCATACACTACTGAACTTTTTTAAAGATTTACTAGTAACATAAAGGAATTTATATAACATTTAATACAGTACCTACCAACTATTTTTTTAAAACGATTCCAAAGGATAGTACATAATAACGTTCTGTTGCCATAAATTTCAGATTTTAACAAGAATTTACTTGTCTTAGTTAACACAAATAAATTAATATCACTGTTGTCTCGTCCCTTTTTTTTTTCGAACGTTTTAACTTTCACTTCAAATTGTCTAAATTAATTTTTAATGTGCCTGAACCAGGCAGGCCCCGGTCAAATCCGCCCCCTGGAAAATCCGGTGTCTACTGTAATCCACTGACTCTCCTCTTCAATACTACTTTACTGAGTCTAGAAGTCGTGTAACACCCATAATGTTCTAATAACCTATAATATGTGAAAAGTGTTATGCAAACAAAACCACCCAGTCCACTGAACAACTGCTGGTGGCCTTCGTATAAATAGAGCGCCCGAGACACCGCAGATCAAAGGTATTCACGATGATCGCTGGGACTACTGTGACGCTCATCTGTCTGCTAGCTGCTCTCTGCGTCAGCGGGGACTCTTACCCCGAAGAATATGACAGGCTGGACATGGGAGACTTGTTAGGCGACAAGGAGAAGCTTGCCAAATTCAGCGCGTGTCTTCGAGACGAAGGATCCTCATCTTGTACCGAAAAGTCGGCCGGTTTGAAAGGTTAGTTTCTGTTTAAATCTACAGATAATACTGATTCTAATACGTATTTACATCTACAGTACCTTATAACGCACATACAATTCAGTTGCTGATATAAGTGTCGATTTTTAAACTAGAACCCAGTGTTAGGAATGTTAATAACGTACTATTACATATTAATATGCTATTAGATGGATTTTCATTACCAAAAAAATCACTCTTTACTATAGAACTTCAATTCCGATGTCTAGAAACACCAAAACTCAAAATCCGGTAAGTAGGATTTTAAATTTCTCATGGCGGTGAGTCCGAAGACGGCTGTCTCCTGGGTTGTAGTGCGTTTCAGATGTCCTTGCCGCCTCCATCGTCAGGGCGACATTTCACTACCCAGAACACATCCTTTTCTTTCAAATTCGTTGTTTATTAACGCACTTTACTTAAGTATTCTAGGAAGAGTAAACACATCACGTTTTTTTCATAAATTTGTAAAGACGACGAGGTCTGCTGACTGGAACGAAATTAGCATAAGTTGTCCAGAACATACCTAATCATATGTATAAAGAAATACGTTCATTTCTGTTTATTTATTAGACAGAATAATGTTTTCCGCTTTGATTAATAGAGACAGGTAACTTCGCTTGTAATTAAATCCATATATTATCGAACAGGACTCCCAGTTTTCTTAAATTACGGGTCGAACCTGCGGCCTCATGGATGATTGGATGTTGTGCTGCGACACGAGAGGTCACATGTAAACAGTTAATCTATAAAAATCAAAGACACGTTTCAGTCCCTGAAATTGCTGCAAGAAGGCACTGAAAAGACGCGGTCTTCCGTCTCACAAGATGTCATCCATGGACCAATGGAAAACACAGGTTCGAGTAGTCACTTAAATAAATACGAACCCTGTCCAACATCAAATGCGGTAAGAACGTGACTGAATTACAAATAAAATACCACTTTTTAAGATTCAAACGGTAAAATGTCTTTCGATTAAGCGGATACAGACCTGAAGTTTCTCGATTTTCTTACAAACGGATCGTAGCACAAAACATTTAACTATCGAAACAACTATCGATATGGCGAATATTTTAAGAAATAAGAATTCGATTCTGAGTCTAGCTTTACAAACAAGAGATCTGCATCACCAATAACGGGGCTGTTTCTCATTCTGTTAAAATACATGGTTCCTTCCTGGAAGACAGTCACCTATTACAAGTCCACACAGCGTTGCCACCCAGCAGATCACGATCTACATTGATCTACGATCTGTGTCGCACAACGTGATATAGATCAGTAGTATTCAACCTTTTTTGTTCGCGTACCCCCATATATAATTTCTCTTCAACTTTGTACCCCCCAAAGTTGTTGGTGTATAATTCAAGTTATACATAGTATATAATCTAAATCTAAAATAAATTAAATACATTAAATTACTGATTATTTATTATTTATCATAAAATAATATATATATGTGTGTGTGTAAGATTTGAGGTTTTCACAGCGGTGAGTATGAAGATTTCTGTCTTCTGAGTTGTTGCGCTGTATATTCATCGCCGATGATGGAGGCAGTATGACCTCTGAAACGTTGGTTAACATCGACCAGACTACACGGCGCAACAACCCAGAAGACAGAAATCTTAATATTTTTTTTAAATTTCACGTACCCCCTAAGATGTATTCGCGTAATCCAGGTTGAATACCACTGATACAGAGCACCGAAGTTCTGAAAACTGCATCACAGAACCTATTACATCAGAACTTTCGCCATGAGAAAAATATTCACTTATCGACAAGAAAATCAAATCGACCACAATCTTCTTTCGAGTAAGTGCTACCTGATATAACACATCTCTGTGTGTCTAATTAATTTTTGTTTTGTTTTGGTTTTCACAGCATTTCTTCTGGATGCTTTAAAAACTAAGTGCAGTAAATGCACTGAATCACAAAAGGGCCACGTCAAGAGAGCAGCAATCTTTTTCTCTGAAAACCGACCCGACGACTGGAAGATAATTATTCATAAATTACAACTTAACGAGACACAAGCAGCGGAATTGATTAAGTCCTTTTAAGAATCATAAGTGACCACGCATGGACAACTACGATGACGAATCTGAGGCTTTAATTTCTCATTAGTTTCGATGTTGGTGTTCTCAAATGTCGACATGTGACATGTCATTTTTATTGTTCACTGGCGTAGAATTAGTAGCTGGCAGGTGGTGGGACATTTCACTTCCCTTCACGAGTCTTCAGAAATAAAACAAACCCAGAGGAGAAGTACCACGGAAAGCGTCGAGAGATACAGGATGGTTAACAATTAAGTTACCACAACAGCACGTAACGTAAACGTACTCTGTCAAATTACAAACTTTGTACTTGTAATCCATTATATCGTTACTATTTGACACCAACTGGTTCCACAATCTTGTACCATGATCCTTCTCATGAGTTACAGTGTAGAGTTTCTAAAACAGATACAAAAAAATACGAACTTGTAAATTTCCAAAACTCGATTTGTTCCTCGCTTGTGCTTCGGGCGAAGTTTGTCAGGGCCTGTCTTTATAATTTGTGGTGTACCTCTCGTAAAATAAACGAATGTCAAACTGTGTTCTTCTGTTTTAGGAATAATCTGGTTCTTTAGAACCCATACAATGTGGCTATTCGAAATTCATTCAGAAATTTATTAAGCGAGCAGAAACCTTTCCAATCTCCACTTGTCACACCTTCAAAATGTTGCAATGTTCATTTTAAAAAACGTGTAAAGGTAAAATTGCCTGTAACTGTCTCCTGTCATGGAAGTCTTTCCTTTAGATGCCACCATTGTCTACGTAAAATATATATAAAGTTAGAAAATAAAAGGATATTCTAGAATCACTAAAAAGGGTGACTCACGCCCACTTGATCGTCGTAGTCTCTTCAGCAGAGACAGTGAAGTGACATGTTTAACATCGCTACTCCATTTACGGATGTACCACGATAGAACAACAACCTATCGCCCGGGTTCTGTGTTCAGAAGATCAGGAAAGAGCGATTAGCTTTATACAAAATGCGTTATAAAACATTTCCTTTCTTTTTTGCCTGAAGATGGAGACAACGTGTCGAAAGCCTTTTAATGCGGACTGTGGTCACTGTCTGAAGAAAACACTGACACGAATTTCGCATTATAACAGAACATTAATGACCTCTTATCCCTAATATCTACAGAATAATTAAGATCCTTGGATCTTTCCTTAAGCAGATGACTTTTATCGACGTTTCAGAGATCCCTACCGCCTACAAATCGCCACACCCGAGAAGGCAGCCATCTTCAGACTCACGGCCCTGAGAACCTGAAATCTCAAACTCGTGATACAATTATCCAGATTTAGTGTCTAATAACGAAGTCAATATATTCAATTTATGTTGAGTGGGTCGTCTTGCCCCCGTCCCCCCCTGTATGATTTTTTAATTTTCACCAACATGAGAACACAAGTGTATATTTAGACAACCGATCCAAGTGGAAAATTCCGTGCCTGATCACGGTGTGACGAGCCCTTTAATGCCCTCTGAAAGTTACCGGGCGTGTAAATATTAAATCAGAGCCTTCTTTCGACGCATCTACCTAAATCACAGCGTTTGCAAATCTTTCCGACCTCGAATATGACTGTCTTCTGGGACGTTAAGCCGTTAAGTCTGATAGATAATGTCGGACGTTTCGAAGGTGTTTGCTGCCTTCATCATCAGGTCGAAGAATAAGCCGCGACTTGTTCGTCGCCCTGGCGATAAAAGCAGCGAGTAATTCTGAAACGTCGGTAAACTTCTGCCATGCTTCACGGCGCAACGTCCCAGAAGGCAAGTAATCTTTCAGTATTTTGCGTGATCAGCAGCTTTTAAGAAAAGTGTTAGGCTCAGTATGAACCTCTACTTCAATTTCGACCAAACGTAATTGTTTCGGATACGTTTAGTGTGCATCCATAATTCCAAACACAATCAAAAACTAGTTCTGTAATCACTTCATTTAGAACATGAAATATGGGGAGAGACGGGTGCACACACCTCGCCATTATGCGTTCACTTGTGTTAACACCGCACAATTTCGACCAAATAAGGAGTTTGTCAATACTTCCAGTTAACATGAGGCCTCTACAAGCCACAGGCAGTGCAAAGTGTGTTAATAATAATCACAAACAAAATTTGGAACTATCTTGTTTTTACCCACTGGGATGTCCAAATGCAAATTACTTTCGGGACACAGCAAGGGAAGATATGCGAGACATATCGGTCGTGAATGAGAGAATAATATTAAAATAGATTTTTGGTATATATATATATATATATATGTAAGAATTAGGACTGGATTCAACTGGCAAAATATATGTCTCGACGGCAGAATTTGACGAAACTACAGTTTTCATGAAATCAGGACATTACTGACCAGCTACGCAACCATCAACGACTTAACTAACAAAGACCTTGAATCAAGCATAATGCGAGTCTGGAATACCGACGCTCATTATAAGAATACTGTGTTGGACACTGGCCATTGTCTGAAGTATAAGATTCGACGTTTCGGGAGTTGATTTTACTCTCGTCTTCAAGTGACTGGGAGTACAGCCAAGTCCCGAAACATCATGCGTGTTAATACATCAGGCGATGGGTGAGTAATGTCCAACACATTATTTCCATTATGAATCTGCCTTTAAGGAATCGCCTTTTCGTGTCCGAGAGAGACCAATCAGTTTAATGATTATGACACTACTGTCGCAACACAGCAGGGCGTGTCGAGAGCTCACATGCACGCACGCATATGCTTCAAGCGTCATAGAAAAATCTAAGAGGTCAGATATTCCAACTTCTTATCACAATCTGAAATGGCTGTCTTCTGGCAGAAATTTACCAACGTTTCGGAGGTCCTTGCTGCCTCCATCGTCAGGGCAATGAGTCATCTCCCTGGTGATGGAGGCAGACTACCGGACTACATACAGACCTTTGCGAAGATCGCAGGCTGTCCACGTCTGTATTACATAATAAAGAAAACCTAGAAACCCACTAAGAAGCTACTTCGACATCTAACTATCTCATGGATCCATGGAATGTAATAAAGATGTCTGTATGTACATTTGACTGGTTGTCATTATGAAATGTTATTCCTCAGTTGTTTACAGTTAAACTGGAAGATGTAAACATTTCAGCTTCAACAAAACAACTTATATGTATGCAAAATAAGTTTGGTCGATGTGTACTTTATTAGTATGCATCAACAGCCAGATGGCAGATTTCATTGAAATGTTAACAAAAAGGAAACATATCAAAATATCTACTTTTCACTTAAGCCTCACACGAAACTTTGTCGGTATAAATGAAAAAAATTCTCTCTGTCTCTCTCTACATTTCTTAAAGGACCTTGGCTTCACCACACATGCGAGGTTTACTAGTCTATTTAGACAGTTGGTACGACTCGATGGACGAGTGACGAAGTCTCTTATCAACACAGAATAGCACAACACAGAAAGACGTAAACACACATCCATGACTTCAGCGAAATTCGAACCCACGCCCCCTAATATACGAACCTGAAAGTAAGAGCTTAAAACACCTGCTGTTGGGAATAGGTTTAAGTTTTTATCCTTTGGTAATGAAAATATATTTGTACTCACCGACGTCCCCAACGTCTATCACAAGCTGCGATGTCTTGATGCAGATTTGCTGGACACACCTGGAAACTTCGAGTCCATATCAACAACTTCTCTTTGGTATAGACACTTGCACATTTTAAGGCAAACTTAACCTGCACATTGACTGTTCACAAGTATTAAAACTTTTATTACACTGCACGTTGCAAACTTATATCCAATAACACATTAATATAACAAATAACTGAGTATCAAGATCGACTGTTCTGGAACTTACGTTGTTAATGTTTATAATACCACCACTTGGATTGCAAATCCAATGTAGACACACGTTTTATAGTTACTTTACAACAGACTCAAAAGTGAATTAATAACTGAAACCTCAAACACGTTTATATTATCTAGAAATTCTTTACGTGGGTACTTTTTATCCAAACTAATTCATCCTTCGAAATGCCATCACTCCCACATAAAATACAAACAACACCAAGATCTCACTTCAGCTTGGACAGCACTCGTGTTTCGGAGTGCGTTCTAAAAGTACGGCAATCGAAAAGAATCGATTGCAATATAGTTTCTGTATTTGAAACTAGATGGAACATTTGACACATTACCAATTTCACAAACTTCTTAAAATTCTGTGGCCTGAGACGCAACTAAATGAACAACTAGTAATAATTAAACATTCTTATAAACCCTTTCAGAACTATTTTTAAATTAAATAAATCTTCTTTTTATGGATGTGTACTGCCTATTCTACTAATATAAATCATTATAAATGTCACAATACAAATGTTATATAAGTTACAGTAAAACAACAATTATTGTTAAGAACTTTCAATTCCATTAACATCAGCTAATTAACCTCATGGAGCAGAGTCACTGAAATATTAAAATTACCAGCCATTGGAGCGTATCCTGAGCAAGTTTAATCTATATGAATCAAATAACTGTCACCACAACGTGTAAATATATTAATGCATTAAGAAAAACCCACTGCAAGTTTCGACACTTCGGCCATTATTATCATCAAGTAGTGATACACAGACCGATACAAATGTTACTATAGAATTGGTACATACACTTAGGCCATGTTTTTCCTTTGTTCTCTCAAATGTCTTGGCGCAACTCCAGATGCTGAAATTCTCAATTTGCTTTAAATCCCTTGAACCTACAGAAGCTTGTTGAGGTTATGCGAGTATCAACCTTTAGCTGTATAATACCTTGTCATTGTACGTCCTTTGCACAAATCTGAGTAAGTGAATGCTGAGACACATAACAAAGATTGTCTCAGAATATTTCATCTTCGAAACTTCTGAAGAAATTTCGATAAAATACTGTATTTGAGGTAAATCGATAATCTATCTCTACTCGAAATAAATAGTGTGACAAATCGAACCGCTGATTTATTGATTGTTCTGAATCAAGATGTATACAGTCAGTTCCAAGCGAACGATGCACTGCTGTAGATCGTTAAACCACTCCGATGTCTCCGACCCCCAGACGTAGTTGAACGCCCAAACACGCCACAATGGCGCATCACATCATCGGATTGTTGCTTAGCTGTCCATTATCAGAAACCATCTCGAGGTAAACAGCAGCTATTGCTCAATTTGAAGAAGTTCATTTAACTATGCCTGGTTAACAGCGTGCGTGTTGCCTATCTTCAGTTGCAAGAATTATTTTACTTGGTAGTAGTACGAGAGTATTTCGCGTTTAGAGGCTCGCACATAATATTTAATGTTACGAAAAAAAATTTCTAATATCAATGAGTTTTGAGAAAAGGTTTAATAAGTTGTGTGTGCAACTGTGAATACATATAATTTATACAAAAGGTGTTTTTCTCAGTTATATACTTATATAAGCCGAAAGATTTAATCCCATAAGTAAGTCAGGCCTTAAAATAATTTAAGTTAAATGAAACTTGTGTAGGACTTATAATAATACTCTAATAGAAATATTGTAGTCCTATATAAAGTTTAATATAAATCTGTCAAAGGCCTCAGCAAAGACTTATATAAGCTTACGTAATAGTCCATGTAGATACAGAAGTAAAGTAGCCCTTAAAACGAACCAAAATCAGGAATACCAACAAAATACTTAAGTTAATAACAAGTGTTGTTTGACATTTCCTTATCTTATTGCGTATTACAACAATCCCTCGTCCCTCTTCCGAAACGTCGGCAATATTTATCAGTTCTACGTATTTATTTACGCTCTTTTTCAGGGTCACTCTCCCCAATTTCAGTACAGCATTTTGTAATCTTTTTCTCTTGTCTCTGACATGGCCTCCGAGCTGGTATCAATGCCGACCGCACAGCGTGTCCTACCCAATGAGGACAACGGGACATCGACGAAGATAAGAACCAGCATCAACCCACTGGGCTGTCGAGTCTGACGGATTTCTTCCAATCCACACGCCTCCATGACTTGCAATATATCGGCGATAAAAAACAGGAGTAGGACGGGAAGGTTGGAATGGCGGTGGGCAGAGTTTATAGCAGATTCGTGACATTTATTAAACGTTTCAAATCGGTTGGTAAAGAAATACCTTGCTTCTACGGCAACGCAAGTGCATGACCATATTCAAAAGGGCCCGCCTTACCGAGTCACTCAAATCCCACACCCTATTCTTCCAAGTTCCATTTTAATATTATCATCTCGTATGAACTATGACTCCCTGGCGATTTCTTCTCTTAATGTTATTTCCCAATATTGTGCTTTAATTTTTTCATTCTTTTTACTTCAATCATCCTATAAAAATTACGCTGTGTAATTTTCTCCAGCGTTCAAATATATTCATCACTGCATAGGCTGTGCAGCAGAAACAACACCAAAATTCAATAAGACAGGGAAATGGTCTAATGATAAGCCGAAACTATCGGTTATGTTTCACAGCAAGTTGTTTGTACTCAGTCACCAGAATGAAGAAACGGGAATCCATTTACGACAAGAACATTACAATTCATTTTTTGTATGTGTCAGTATAACTCATAATTAATGTTAAAATTAATGACAAAGTAACTAAAGATGTTACAGGCCTAACCTTGTAGGAAAACTTGCCAAACTCGTAAAGCCTCTAAGCCAAAACCCAGCATAACCTAAGATCGTCTCGTGATCTTCACCCTGAAGGGTTGAGGTGCAGACGTAATCCCTGAAAGACACAACGTGGAAGGTTCAGGGTCTCCAACAGGTAAACTGAAGGAGAATTCCTGAAGCAAAGTTGTGTAGAAAATAAAAAGGATATTTCTTGCCATCAATTCTCCCAAACAGGTACGTCTTCCAATGCCAAACGGAATCATCCACTCGTCCTTTACGAAGTTATCATTCTCATCTAGGAAGCGTTCAGGTCTGAACACTTCAGGATCACCCCAGTGTTCTTTGTCGCGCAAGATACACCACAGACTCGCAATAACTGTTGTATCCTAGAACATGACACCACGCAACACGAGCGCAATTACTTGGTCAACAGAATTAAAGATGAGACTCAGTGAGCCAGAACACTGCTTTGGACATGGACGTCAGCTAGTTTCGTCCACGTGCCTGGATATGATCACTGACATCGCAGTGAAGAAACCTACCTTAGGGATGCTGTAGCCGTTCAGAGTAGTATCTTGAGTGACACGATGTGCTGGTGCAACTGCAGCTACGGTATTGATACGCATTACTTCTGCCAAGACAGCCTCTACATATTGCAGTCTGAAAAATATAAAACATTTCACATCCACACGATCATCTTCAAGTCTGAAATGAGAGTGGAAACAAGTAATCCAAGAAGTACAGGCTCAGTTTGGTATTTCACGCTAACAACATTTAAAAACAACCAACCATATACAAACAAATTATGATTAATTATGTTACAAGACCTCTGACATGATTTTTCCCTAAAAAAAACATTAAAAAAAAGAGTGGCTGAAACAGATCTCATTTTAGAATCTGTAAATTAATTGAGCAACCAGAGAGAACTTCTCTGTAACACTCATTGGTTTCTGAACTACACCATTCATCGCTCGCTCTTTCATTTACGCTCACCGTGGTCTGTCAGCTAGACACGGACGCCTGTCTTTTCCAACCACGTCGTCCAGCAGACGCTGCACCGTCCCCTGAACCTCTGGGTGTAAGACAGTGTAGAGCAACGTGAAGCTAAGAGTGTTGCTCACAGACTCAGCGCCAGCCGCAAATAAGTCAAAGCACGTGATAATCAGGCCATCTTCTACAAACAGCAGCACACGACTTGTATAAAGAGGATACTACATGTAAAGTGAACAGATTTTTCTTTTCTTGTAGTACTCAATGTCACTTCTTTTACAGTTCGGCCAGTACCTATATGTCTCCTTACCTCCTACCCCCTCCTGCCCCTCCTATTTTACTTCTAATGGAAATGCCCATCAAAATCCAATAGGGAATGATCTATTTTGAATCTCTGTCTCTTATACCAGTTCTTCTTTCTTGTTATCAATTTCTTTCCTTTATCTCCTCCCGCCTTTCTCCCATGTTCCTTTCCCATCGCTCTAAACGTGAAACAAATAGAATATTTTGCCGTCTAGCATCGTTACCGAAAAAAGATTTAGGATTCCATGAGATCAAACAAAAACATATAAATCATATTAGTTTAACAAATATTATAGAGTTATAATCTAACCTCTCCTTCATTTTATTTGTTATATAATACGTGGCAACATAAAAGAAGAACTTTTATGTATCCCTCTTAATGTAAAGTCAAACTTCTTTCTCTGTACGTCCTGTATGGTGTCGTTTCTTCCTAAACTTAATGAAGATGATGATAAAGATTATCCGCTTCTTACCCGAGAAAGTGGAGTTCTCATTGTCACTCTGATGCTTCATCTCTTTCAAGTAGACGTCAATGAAGTCTCTGAGATCATTTTCTTTGAAGGTCTTGTCATGTTCTCTGATAATGTTCTGAAAATGATTTTATAAAGTGAGAACTGTCTAAGAGCCAGAAATTTAACATGTTATTAATAACTCAAAAGTTTACGTGACCTGGGGGTAAGATAAAAGGTAAAGTTATCCCAACGCTTCACAACATGCATCATGGGAAAATAAGAGGTATTTCTTCACGTACTCTTAACCTCAGTACCAAACAGACATGCAGTGGCCACTCGAGGAGAAAGGGCCCTTTCCTGCATCATATTCAACAAAAAGATGGAGACGGTCTGTCCGTAACTGCTCTACAAATACACTCACCCACTTGCCACAGGCACTAGTACGTGTATAAAAGTATTTATATAAAGGAATCTGCAACAAAATGAATGACTGGATTTTCTTAAATGACTAACGGATGTGAACCGTACTATGATGATGCCATCTGGTGCCATTCCTCCCAGATCTAAACATTAAATGATGACATGATTATACAAATGTAACTCACTCTGAAGAAAAATTTGAGATTCGTAACATGATCCAGAGTTTCTTGGTGTCCTGTTACTTGAGGAGCAATTATCTTGAGAATGGGGACAGCGTTTACGATTCCTCCAGTCTGAGAGCCTGAACGAAAAAGGCGAGTCAAGGCATGAAGAAGGTCTTGGAGGCGAGCGTCGCCTCGTGAATATCTCGTTCCTGCCACCAGGGCCCAGATTACATTCACTGTTGATAGCCCAAAAAATCTTGACACCTTAAACATATAAAAATAAATCTTATTTAAATATTCTTTCACACCCAGTTGACATGATCACCTAACAAATCTTTGTGAATTTAGGGAACCATCTTTTTTAAATTATAAATTTTAATCTTATTACTTTATTTTACATTCTCCATCACTTACTACTTTTCCTGCGTAATTTGTTATTTCTGTAACTTTTTACTCTGCACAATGCGACTTATTGGTACCCATGGATTTTCTTCATTACATCAGAGTTTTACTTTAATTATAAAAATGTTCTAAATAGACAGTTAAGTAGTTGCTGTACCAATTACTCACCTGTAATACTTTGCATTGCCTTAGCTCCTTTATAACATCTTCAATTTCTTCAGAAATTAAAGTTTCCATAATACTCTTACCAAATCCAAGATCTCTCAAGTGACGCAGAGTGAAACGTCTTTGTTCTACCCAAAATGGACCATCACTGAAGAAAACACCTTTAATAAAAATATTAACAGTGATACAGACATCAAACCATTCACCATGTTACCTTTGGGCGGGTAAACACAAGAAGTTTCGACCCTCAAGCGCAGTCAACTGACACAGAAAAGTTAAAAAGTAACCAGACTTATACTTCTTTGACAACTTCTCAATAAACTCGGTACCTAAAAATGTTGACACGCAACTAGAAACTCATTTTCATAATGTAACATTATGATTAAATCAGAAGGAATTAGATGCACAGAGCACGCAGCACCGTGGAGGAAACTGCGAGAAAGGAATTACATAAATCGCAAATCAGAACTTACCAAGCTTTCTGTTAAAGTTCTCTTGCCTAAAGTTCGCTTTCTCCGGTCTTCCTTGGAATTCTTCCCTCCGCAAAACTTCCAGAACCTCATTGGGCCCACAGATCAGCACAGCCGGTTGGGAGCCTAGCATGAGACCTACCACAGAACCATATTTCTTCAACCACAATTCCATTTTCAGATGAAGGTATTGTGAGGGCAAGAATGGAACACAACCCACTACAGGTAAGCACGGTGGACCTAGAACAGATTCCAATGACTCACATCAATGAGCATTCAATACCTTTAATTAATCAAACATCTGATCCAATTAAAAATTCCAGTTCAAGTAACCTATATTTTAACGAAACAGAAATTTATATTTTTCATGTTTAAACAAAATCTATCTTCATTTCTGTTATGTTCCTATAATATAATTTCCAATAACCCCCTCGAATTCTTTCAGTAATTATTTAATACAATGGCATACAATTTTAAAAAATTAAAACACATAACATTAATTGTAATATTACACAAATAAAAGCTTCAAAGTTTTCTCAAGGACTCAGTTATAAGGAGTTAAACAGTTATAAGCACTCACCTGGTGGAAAATTCTTGGGCCTGATTTTAATAACATTATATAGAAGACAGAGGACCAGACAGGTCAGAACAATTGTAACAAACATCCTGTAATAATAACAGTAAACAATGACATCAAAATAAAAAAGAGAGACATTTAAACAATGGAAAATCAGCTAAGCCTTTATGATCGTCAGTGTTTATCCTTAAGAGATCTCTTCGCCCAGTCACTTGCAGAATTGGTCCAGAAATGCCCTATAATTGTCACCAAACGTACAAGATAAAAATATAGTTGCCTGTAAGTCAATATAATTTAATAAATTTACAATCTTCGTTAATCTTGATGTTTTTCAGTAGCCCTATTCCCCATTAAAACAACGTGTATTGATATTACGTATATTTACAAAGACGGAATTGGAGTTCCCGCAATTTGACTCTTTTTGGGAATGTTTTAAGAAATATTGTTTAAAAATGAAAATCCTACAAAGAAAACGATATAATGATATAAGACCTAGTAGTTCTGATCGATCTAATTTCTTCTTCTTTTATACACAGCCTTTACCAGCACAGTTCTTATTCTGCTATTTAATGTAAATAGTTCTTAACCTCTAAAGCCTTTGCCTGTTTCTGAATTCTAATCAAATTTACTAATTTCCCTATAGGAAATATTGCATCAACTTCTCAGTGTATAGTTTTTTTAATCACTGTGTTGATGACACTTTCTTCTTTATTGTAATTAGGTTTACGAACCATCCTATGTCAGGGTGGTCCCGACTTGCTAACTACCGAATTATAATATTTGTTTTTCATTCTGCTATGCAGTATTTGTATTACAACAAAACGTAATAAAGAATCTCTGTCTAGTGTTAAATACACGTCTGAATGCAATTATTGTTACGTCGTACATAACTATATGCTTAAGTCTTCAAACTCTTCTACGGTATATACTACTAACTACGGCTATACGTCGTTAAATATGCTTATTTAAATAAAATCCATAACAGAAAGAACTTAAAGTAGCTTTTGTGTCTCCAGTAAGAGAATGTACCTTTTAGTCGCTGTCCTGTTAGGAAATTATTCCGATACACGTTCACTGACCGTATGCCTACTGCATTTAACAAGGTTTTACCCTTTCATTCTGCTATTTCAACTTTAAACAAATAGTTCCCATAAATAAGGACAAGATTAAACTCGTTCTTATCGGGGGGGTTTTTTCGTAAAGGTCGCGTTGTTTCCAAACACCTGGGTTTTTCCCACAAGGAACTCCGTGCAAACTGCCACTGGATTAGATTCCGAATTCTACCTGTTACAAAACAAACCACTGATAACAGGTTTCCCTTACTATGTATAACCAAAAAAAAAAAAAAACACGGACGTGAAAGGACATATATCACCATACACTGTTGTGTGCGATATTTTCAAATTTATTAAAAAAAAAGTCCACAATTCACTACATCAACAATTTAATTTAGAAGTATCAAAGAAACTGAATTCTGATATTCCGTCTTAAATGCAGTAATAGCTATTTTTCGACCGAAGGAAATTCTAAAATTGGTTCTTGATACAATGGCACCACCCCTAGCTTAGAGTACAAAAAAACGTAAGTCTTTTATCGTGGTTCAATGACGTCCTAAAGCAGGCATCGACCTTGTGGTAGTAAAGGTTTCCAAAATTGGTGGAAATGAAAATAAACAGAAAATATCGAACCAAGCAACTACGAGAGCTTTCTCTCACAATTCCACTTCAAATGAAAACATTCGGTGACAATTTTAGGCACCTTCATAACCGGTAAGTTCCAAAAATTAACCTATTGCATTGCCCCGTCTTTCTACACGTGACAATTCAAAAACCACAGAAAATATTTACATTACATTTGCCATTGGGAAGGTTTACTTAATTTTTCAACATATTCCAATTTCGGTTAAAACTGTACAATGACGGAATATTTAAAGTCAAAATCTTACGTGCGTTTCTGTTTGTAGAAGTGACTGGGTGGTCAATTCCGAGCCAAGCAGGTGCCCATGCAATCATACGAGGAATCCTCCATCCTGATGACGTCATCCTGCCATAAAAGCCTCGACAAGACCATGTGGGAAATCCCGACTCTGATGTCACTGGCACCATTTTCAAAAGTCAATGGTCAAATCCTGACGAATGCAGCACAAATGTTGCTCTGTCAGTTTCTTCAGATATTTCTGACTGTGGTTATTTTCGAGATGCCCTCGCCTTTGCCGAGGGATTCTACAAAAACTTGTGTTAATGAGACTTCTTTACAATCCCGTACGCTCTTCAATTGCCCTCGAAGTGAATTACATAAATATAATTATGTAACAGAAGCTTTGTATACAAATTCTATACAGGTGTGTGGGAAATAAGTAGCACTGAGAAATGGTTATAACCTCTATATTTCCAATGCAAAGCGATTATTTAATGCCTACTTACTTCCCACCCACCCTGTAGTTGTAAACAAAGATAAATACTGCTACTGTATTTGCAATCGGAATTTACGTAATATTCAATAAAAACTTGCACTGCATGAGCTGCTAAGTTCATTATCAATTATGACGATGTTCCAAATTCCCAGAACATAAGGAGATAGAGTAAATTGTTTTCCTCAGTTGCTCATTTAAGAGTAAATAGAGTTCAGTGTCGATAGTGTTCCACATTTACAGCAAACAGAAGCTGCAATGTTTCTTACAACTATGAGGAACTTGAGAGGTCTCAGGTCAAAATTTCAGCCCAAATACTATCCTGAACTTCTACATGGTTCTCCTCAGTTTCTCCAACTACTGGAGTAGTAGTACCTAAAACTATGCCATGACTGCTTCCTTCCACATCCTTTCCAATTCATTATTCATTGATCAATAGATGCAATATAATGCCAGTGGTTGACATTAGTAAATAAAGCAGAAATAAATACAAACCTCTCTCATCAGTTTTTATTTTTAAATGAATAGTGCAAAGGGACAGTAACGGATGCACTGCAGCATTTTTCATATTAAAATTAAGTTCGTAAGGGGTATAAAATAATTCCGATGACGTGGCTAAAAATTTAAGAGAATACTAAATTTTTAGCCACTTCTACGAAGGATTGTACAAGGATTCACTCCGGTACCTGCCAGAAGACCAAGAGCTTGATACCGTCAACACAGACAGGAAATGTGAAAGGGGAAGAGACAATCCAGAAAGCTTTCAAAGTGAGCTCACTTTGCAAGCTCAGTTCTCCAAATATAAACCTCTTACAGTCCCTCCAAGGTATTGTTAAGGAAACAGGGAAAGGTAAACGCCCTGAAAAAAAATACATTTCCTCAATATGTATCCAGAAACATAAGTTTAAAGATTTATCTCTTCTGGGATGTTGCGCCGTATAGTCTGGTCGATGTTAACCAATGTTTCAGAGGTCATACTGCCTCCGTCATTAGGGCAATGAATAAGCTCCTATAAACCTAGCCCCACCCACCCTATTGGCATATTCATCGCCCTGATGATGGTGGCAGTATGACCTCTGAAACGTTGGTTAACATCAACCAGACTACACAGCGCAACAACCCAGAAGACAGAAATCTTCATACTCACCGCTGTAAAAACCTCAAATCTTACAACAAAAGTTTAAACGGAGATTTAAATTTCTTTTGTAAAATACAACTGAGGTGCTCTGGGTAAAAGGAATATGTATTGTACCAGCAGCTAAACAAGTGAAACTGCGCTACTTCTATTGTACTATGACGATATAATTATTTCACTACTTCAATAAATTAATATACATTAGTGATATAAGAACAATAAAAATACAACAGGAGTATTGTTTACAACTTTAGTTAATAGTGATGGCGGCAGGGTAATGCTGTGGAAGTCGTGCCATGTCAAAGGCCGCACACAGACCTGACACTGAAAAGGAAATCGACACGAGCGGTGATCTCAGATTAACGATACAAGTGATACAATTAATCTTATAATGAGACTGTGTACAATTCAGTTTTCTGTGAATTGTAATCCACTTTTATGAATCCTTTCCACTAGTACACATTGCAACCATGAGCACGTCAGACAAAGAAATAAATCTTCTAGTTTAACGTCCTACGTGCTCTTATGGAAATATACAAGAGAAATACACAATAACGACAAGCAGTTATGTCGTCATAAATCCCACAGCAGAAAACATTCAACATTAATTCCGTCACAAAAATCGTACTTGCGTGGTTTCCGATTTCAAGGATGATACAAAACGACGTTATACTCACAGTGTGATGTGGTGTCATTTTCAACCCAGTTGCTAAGGACAACAGCCAGAAATATGTAACATTTGGAGTACAATTCCTCCAGCTCTTTAAGCCTTCCTTCAGGAACAAATACTACTCCAGCCTCCCAAACTTCACACAATCTCAATGCGACCCAAATCATCTGTAAAATATGTACACGCAATATGCAAAGTAAGACTCCTGAAGCGTTTGTTTCTGTTAACAATTTAACATCAAGACGTGCAAAATCATAAATCCAGGAGGCTATGATGGGCTGGGCTAGCAGAGCAAATGAAAGAAACAAATACAAAAATTTGGTCAGAAAACTTCTTGGAAAGACGACATTTGGATGACTTGAGGGGATGGAAGGATAACATTAAGCTGGACCTTACGGAGATGGGTTGTGAAGATGGAATACAGATAGGAGTAGCTCATAATCATATCAAATGGTGGGCTTTGGTATTAGCTCTCAGAAATTGTTATTTACGTACATAAAATGCTCCTTACCTGAAGAACAGAATTTTTTATAACGTCACAGTCATCCGACTGTAAGCAATGTGTATAGACTGTCTGAACGTACGCACTGTGAGCTGGAAAAGAAACAAACACAGTATAACTCTGCGGTATTAAGGAATCAAAACGCAATCACAGAAATCTGAAAAATTCCGTCAAACAATAAACAAAGGTAAGAACAAAAAATAAATAAAAAATTGCATTGGCATAACAATAACCAATATTTCCTTTCAGTTATTGTACACTTAAAAAAATTATTTTTTTGCCGCAGTTTATGTACTGACTGCCGTGGTTCATCTTCCGTCATGAATTAAGATTTGGTTACGAAGATGGCTGTCTTCTGGGTTGCAGCGCCATGTAACATGGTAGAAGTTTACTGACGTTTCAGAGGTATTTGCCGTCTCCATCATCGCCCTGATGATGGAGGCAGCAAGAAAACTGCTTTAACTAAAGCAGGCGTTTACCTTTCATCAGAGCATCAAGATCCTGTGCCTGTTCAATTTTGTGCTCCAGCTCCAAGCTCAGCAAATGTAACACTTGTCCCATGAGGTAACTGTGTACACTGTTCACTGAATAAAGCAGCCAAAATCGCAGACACTGCAGTCTGTGCATTCGGTGCCTTGCCCTTCTGTTCAATGGCTTGGACTTATTCTCCCTCTGCTCCAAATCTGAACCAAGAGCAATAAGAAAAGCAATTACAATGGAGTCGATATAGTGTACATGAAGGGCAAAGCTGTGCATGTGTCATATCAAAAAAAATCCATCTATGTGCAGTAAAGTCAACAGTAGCCGATCAAAAACTCCCCCACATTTTATGGAACCTGGACGTTCATTACTGTCTTTACAGAAGCCTCCCACTTGACGTTAACCTGAGCCAGATGAATCCAGAACAACTGTACTTGTTAATAATTATTCAGATACGCATTTCTAAATTCAACAGGGATACTAGAAACGGCACGTACCTGAGAATCTGAGTTTCTGTAAGGAACAGATGGCCCACTTTATCTTCAGAAGGAACTGAAAGACAGTATTATAGTATTCCATGTTATGTTCACTCAGTATCAAAGACACAGGCCACTGTACCTGTGACACAAGAAATTAAAATCACATAACACAGATATAGTTGCATAATTAACAAGCATAACAAATATTCAAACAGGGATATTCGTTAAAGATAAAGTAACCCGTGTGCCCAAGCACGATGCCAAAAACAGATATAGTGGATGTAAAAATCCGTGCTTCTTGACCTCAGCAGTAGAGGAAGACGCATAGTCAAATGTATGAAGTGAAGCCCTCACGGCCACCGAAGTTGATGAAACACTCTCGGGCTACAAGCTGTATCAGGTGGCTGAACGTTGAACAAACCATAACGAACTGGTTACCCAGAAACTCTGAAGATGAGAACAGACATGGTTCTTGAAATGTTGGCAGAAGATATGGCTTGTTCACCGTTCAGCCATCTGACATGGCTTGTATCCCTGAGAGTATTTCATGATATGTAGTCAACTTCACATCTGACTCCCTAGGAAACGGTATCCAGCACTCAATGGACGGGATGGGTCTCAGAGTCAGAACGACAGTCGTGAGAAAAAAAAAATCAATGCCCCTGTTACAACCCTAGTCAGTCAATCAGTCATTTACCTATTTAAGAATCTACACTCATGATTTTTTTTAATTTTTTTCTGTAATGGGTGTACTCAACAGTCATTGCTCACATTATTCATTTAATTAATATCAGACATCAATAAGTCAGAGAAAATAACTGTCTTCTAAGATGACGTGCTGCACATTCTGAGAGTGGCCGATACTTCAGATGTGCTTACTACCTTCATTATCAGGGCAATGCCCCACAGACACAAGACACAGCATCCCATGGAACAGTAATCTTCACAATCTTAATCTCACTAAGAGCACAGAGGTATACTTACAGTATACCTAAGTTTAATGCTATTTATTGCGTCTTGGACAGATGTTGCATAACGTATGTTGTTATCCACAGATATGAAGAAACGTGAGCTAAACTCTGGGTACCGCTGATCCACACAGCTCTCCAACAGATTAGTCAGTGAGAATGAAGTGGCCTCACACATATGTAACTGTAAAGGTAATTAATTACAGGTATATTCATCTCTGTGCTTTATTAATAAACACTTTATACTTATTACAACCATTAACATAAACTAAAGCGCATAATTCACATTGAAAAGCAAGAGATGTTACCTGTTCAAAGAGTGAAGTGTAAAATTGATGCATGAGGTCACCTGCCTCCATCAGAAAAATTCCCCTAATGATCCGGAAATGTATTGAAAGATCAAATTCGCGTTGAAAGATTGGCTTAATCAAAGAGCACGCTGCTTTCCACTTCTCTTCTACAAGCCCCAAGAGGTTAGTTTCTATCACATGTTTAACAGGCAAGATCTCATGTTCAAGATGTTGAATCAGTCTGTGGAAACATATGATAAAAAGTTCTTAGAAATTTATAAGTAAAGAAATTATGAAGAAAAAGTTATCATATTTATTGGATTTTTAGGTATAATTATATCTCTGAGCACGTTTTCAAAAACTTATTATCTTCCTATAAATATATTTAGACAGTGGCAAAAATAAACTAACCAAGGCACCCTCTTCATTCACATGAAGTAATGTATTTCTGCAACACCAATTACTATATGAGGTGAAGCTTTTGCGGCAGCTTGTAGCTCAAGAATCTTTCATCAACTCCAATTACTATGTACTGGTGGTCAAAGTTTGTTTTGAAGTACTAAGTTTGAATCTTATTACTGGTCTAGTGGTTAGGTTAGGTTAGTTTAGTTTAAGTTAGGTTAGGTTAGCAGGATTCTAGGTTCAATCTTAATGGTTGCCAATATACTACAGTTGTAATTTCTTTATCCCTTCAATCAGCAATGCCCACCTGCCAGTAATGTACGCATTTGCTCTCTTCTGAAAATGAATAACTTAAATATTCTTTCTACTGTTAGTCCACTGGAATTAGTCTAACTGCTACAAACTTGCAACTTCAAGTCTCCAGGTCAGAGTTCAAATGAAGAGATGACAAATAGCACATTTTTCCACCCAACCTGGGGCCTACTACATCTCATACAGGCAGAGCTGGGATCATTAAATCACAAAGCCACAATACTCTCAAAAATAAAATCAATAAAACTAAGTCAGCATGACAACCGGTCAAGTACAGTAAATGTACTGTAATAAATAATCAAAGTGCCACAAACCTTTTGAAAATTATACTGTGCATAAAATACTTTCTAAGTATAAGACTGACTGAATGAAGTTGTCAAGTTAATATACTGGAAGAAAGAGGTGTGCTTACCTTGTATATAGCTGTTCTTTCTTCTTTGAAACACTTATAATTTCACCTTTATCTCCCTGTTCATCATTCTGGTTCTTTTGCTTGAAGGGCAGATAATTTTCAAAAGCTTTCACAAGGAAAGGATCTCCAGCTTGTACCAAATGTTCCTTTACCTCGGTAAAGAAATCGTTGCGTTCATTCTTCCGGTTAGAATCGTAAATAATTTTCTTATCAGCATTTTCTTTCGTATCTAAATGACTGTCTTCTCTTAATGCAAATTTGGATAAGTCCTTCTCAACATGTTCAATAAATTCTTCACACAAACAACCTGCAAAGTAAAACATGAATTCTAAAAGAATTAACCCTGTGAAACGGAGTCCCTCCTCACAAGCTGGCAGCTGTTTAGCTAGTCAAGAAATTCCTTGCCTGTCATGGAACCTTTGGTACAATTTTACAACAGCCTGCTCATTAGCCCTATCACAATCTAGTAAAATCCAGTCTGTATCCCCATACCCCATTTCCTCAATACCCTTTCAATCTTATCCTCCCATTTGTGCCTAGGTCTCCCAAGCGGTATCCTCCTATCAGGTTATACGATTAAAATTGTGCGTGCATTTCTCACGTCTCCCAAAGTCCTGCACATCTCTTTCTACTTTATTTCATCACTTCAATATGCGGATAAGAGTACAAACCATGAACTTTTATGTGTGTATGAAAGCAGAAGAGTATGAAGGAAAAAAAAAGGGGGACTTCTGGGCAGATCACAACATTATTTGCAACATCTGTTAAGAACAACTAAAAATTTTCAACAGCTAATACAAGCATCTAAAAGTAACAATCATGCCACACACCTCGTGACACAGACAGCCTGTCCAACCTCAACAACAAATCCATACTTTTGCCTGCATGAAGCAGTTTGCCGACAATCACTTGTAGGACCGGCAGTGGCTGAATACCTGCACTAACCAGCATCGTTTCATAAGGATGGACTACAAATTCTTCGTCTTGAGGTTCGTGGAATTCACCAGAATCCCTGCAAATGCAAAGTATTTATAAAATGATGTCGTACGATTTTGTGCATATGAACAGAGAGCGACTTACATTGAAAATCACACAAACTGCAGTTCCTAGTACAACTTCAACACGACACATTTTCTCCCTGATCACAGTAAGTCATTTATTAACTACTACCACTACAGCAAACAACAGGAGGGTGGATGGTTTAAGATTCCGTTACAGTTTAACCCTCTATGTCGTCACCCATGTAATTCGACCTCCATGATACCAACTCAGCCCCCACTTCTCCAGTAGGCCCACAGAAACCTGTCTGATACTGAAATATGTTCGTGTCCCTTGCGATCCTGTTAGGTTTCATTATGCGAGTTACCTTGTTATGACAAACTCCTCCCGACAATCCTGCAGTTGTCCGTGAGTCAGCCATGCATCAATGATATCAAGATAAACTTCAAAACTCTTTAAGAACAGCTTCAGCAAGATGGCAGCCTGCCTACTAGTTGATGAATCTACCAGTTCTCTATACAACACTGAAAGAAGACTGTTAAGAACATAGTTTAGCTTTACAATAACACTAATGTAAGCATCCACGCTGAAAAATATCTTACCGAAATAATAAGATTCTTATTTATTATTACTATGCTCTAAACATACAACATTCACCACTGACTATTATTTACGACCACAGCGCCAAAGTCATTGCATCAAGACGTATCCAAAGCAGGGAACAAAATTTCACAAATTCTTATAGCAGTTTTTCAGGCGACTTGATGCGATAATTATGACAGGTCAACAAATTAAGAGACTATAAATTTAAAGATGCATACCACGAGGCTGACAGCCAATTAGGTGATGTTTTCCAATCATACACTGCTCTTGCGTGAACACAGTACACGCTCCTCAACTCATACAACTTTGGTTCTAGTTCATTAGTCAGTTGCAGTAGTGTGTAGGTTCTGTCTGAAATTACAATCAAAAGTAATACCTACGCTGGTATCAAAATCCTCTTTCCAGCATCTCCGTGGCTTATCTTTCACTCTTCAAGAGAATAAAGATAACAAATTCTTAGCATCCTGTTTATGGTACTGAGATTTACGAATTATACCTCATGCTACATAATATCAAACAAATCACAATATTTATTTGTGTAAATGACTCGCTTTCTGCACAATTTTTACATCAGAACAACAGCACAGCAATTATAATCTTCTTCCTTCGTAAAAATAAAAGCTCTCATATAAAAATAAAAAGCAGTGGTACATTCATTGGTCCATAAGGAGGAAGAGTGGATTTGACAGACAAACTTCAATGTAAACGACAAAGTGTCAAAATAAAATATGGGCTATTATATGGTGCAAAAAAAATATCATTTCTTCTTCGTGTTAAAACACTAAATTTAAAGCACATACCTCGTTTCTTTACTTTTGTTTCAATCTGAATGATGAGTGAATTAAAATCATCAAGAAATTCCTTGACTACAGTCCAATAAGCTATGTATGTATTGGGAGGAAATTTTGTACAGTTTGGTATTTCTCTGCTGCAATTCAGATCTTCACTAAAACTCTGAAGTTCTCGCAGCATTGTGAAATAAGGGCACAGACGACTCACGTAGGATGCAAAAGTACCCTGCGGACAGAAACCCAAATCCCTGTTTAGCTCATCAGCACGCAGTGTTGTCAAATGTACGTTTCTGTATCCATCAAGGACTCTTTGCATATAAATCTTCATTAAAGTAAAATGAAATTACTGCTTTCCTGGTAATCTGATATCACTGTACATTCAAAATTCACAATTTTAATTCTACATTACCTTTGTGAGACTTGGTATGGTAATATTTGGATTTACAGTGAACTTCTTAGCCTCTTCTGTGAATAAATAACTTGTACTTGGTGTAAAGAACATCCAGAGAATCTCCCTCAAAACTTTGTATTCACTCAAGATTGTAGTCTGTGGTTCATCATACCCTTGTTTAATCAAATGTTCATCCCTGAAAATAGAATAGCAAACTAAACTAACTCCATGGAGCAGTCCATTATGAGAAGCTGATTTTTACTCAGTTCGTAAAAAAATTCCCCATCACTTATGGAGCCCAAAGGTTCGCTACACCGAAGACGGCCGTCTTCAGATTCGCCACCACGAAAACCTCAAATCCTACTTTCACTACATCGTCCGCAAGACTCCATTGCTGGGTTCAATTGTAAACCTAATCCTTTTCCCTTAAGATATGTCGCAGAAATCTGTAGATAATTAACAGTAATAAATAGTTCTAATATTCTACCAATGTAAATATGTCTTACTAGGAAACATTATATACTCCACAAATAACTGAAGTGTTTAAATAAAAATGCAGACTTCCTTTCCAAATTAGGTTTATGCTCATAAACGCTGCTTTAAAATTTCCCCGGCATTTCCCCTCAATTGTAGACTCCTATTTCAGTTTTACAGTTAATAATTTTATTAACTTCAAACACATCTTTCACATTCTGGCAAACTCTGACAGCTACAGACACCTTCTTATTTAATAATGCTGCCACTATGGGACTATAAAATATCATTGAATATATATCAACATTATTTATTTACTAACCAACATTTTGGTAATAATTTTGTACCATAACTCTACCACATTTTCATGAACTAACCACAACTTTGCCAAATTTGCTGCTGGAAATCTGCTTGATGTATTATGATATATCCCTTCAGAAGTCCAATATGGTTGCATAATACTAGTTTCCATCCACTTCTCTGCCGAATAAATATCCTTTAAATTACGAATAAAATACTCCTTCGAAGTATTTTGAACTTCTAAGTTCAAAGAAGAAACAGAATTAATGATTTCTGCTGCTAACATTTCAGATCCTTCATCTTGCGGTTCATCTAAGTCACTGCTGAATTCTTCCTAGAAAAAAAATACAAGCAACGTGTTAAAATATCTCCAAAGTGCAAAAAACCAAAGCCTGTAACAAATGAGAATTTATATCCAGCCCAATATAAATAACATAAGTTAAAATTACTACTTTCCTAAACTCTGCATCAAAACATTTTTGGGCAGGGTATGGACAGAAGGTTCCATGCATGTTCAGAGATGTGGTACATAATTAGTCATGCTCCAGCACTCCTGGTCTCAGAAATTTGTCCATAATTCTGCCTTCATAAGAGATCCGTAATCCGTGGCGTAACAGCCCTCTGAGAGCCAAAGCCGACTAGCTGGCTGCTGGCCTCACGTTCACGTGCCTAAGCAGAGGTGAACGATCATCCAACCAGATATAGGGTGATGTGTGGTCAGCATGACGAGCCCCCAGCCATTGCTAGCTTTCCTGACCGGATTATGCTACTCATTGTAGCTCTCCAATTTCCTCACAATGCTGGGTTGGCACCGGTCCCATACCCTGGTCGAAATCTCATGAGAAAATTTCTTCTCCCCCGAGACTCGAATCAGCGTGCATTCTGTATCGCCGGTCCAAAGCATGATGCCTCAGACTGCGCAGCTACGGCGCGGGACCTTCATAAAGAGATAGCTTGGTATAATTCAGACAGTCTGTCATCTTCCTGGAGTAAATGATAAAAACCACAACAGAACTTGTCGGCATGGCTGGTGTCTGACTGAGATCGGAACCACGTACTCCTAAGTGTGGATCAGATGTATTATTTCTCGGTTACTCCGCTGAAGTTATAAGAAAATAATAATTATACTTACGCTTGAAGAATCATCATAAACACAAACAAATTTTTCATCTCCTTCTCGTAAATATGAAGTCCAGTCAAATTGTTCTTCTTCATCATCATGTACTTCTGCAGTTGTTGTAGTTGTTTGAAGGAGATGAGTAGCAGATGTTGGACTGTTTGCTAGATGAAGAAGTAGAGACAGCAGTGACCACTGTATGTCATACTGTACAAAAAAAATTGTACATTCAATTAAAACCATGATAATATAGAAGTTAAAAAAATAACTGAGAAAGCAACGTATGTGATAGACTTTCACATAAAATGCACATTTATGGTATGCACACACCTACGCCAAAAAAACCTGTTCTGACATCTCTTGACACTTTCTGCCAACTCTCTTAAACTATATTTAGAAATTAACATGAAATACAGGAGCAAATATATTTCTACTGCAAATATCAGCACAGAAATGTTAAACAACTCACTTGTGGATGATCACAAAATACTTCATGGCTTAAGAATGTGGTGACAAGCTCCCTGAGTTTCCGTGCTATATCAAGGTGACCGTGCACCTCAAATTTTGTAACCAAACCATCAACTGAGCGACGAACAGCGTGGCTATCCACGGAGAGAAAGCGATGGTGCCACAGGTTGGAGAGCAGGAATCTCTCACACAAATCAAAATTCTCTTCTCCTTCCTACAGGAAATAGTTACTCATTCAGTTTAAACGTGTGATGGAAGTTGCTTTAGAGAACCATGAGTGTTAAAAAGAAATGTCAGATCAATGGGGCTCCAGAAATGACTTAAACCTACTAGCCATTTAACAAAATCCACTTACTTATTATCTTACAAAACCATTCATACAAATGTTTTACATATATATATTACACATTCCATGGTTCCAAAATACATTTTATAATCACAGACAATAAGAATACTGTTTCACTTTATTTTCTGAACTTTGCATACAATTTGTCCCATAAGTTTTTAATATATTTACACCAAGGCTAAAACATACAAGTATGTGTACCATGTTCATATCAAGCATATTATCAAAGCCCAGTAGGGCACATCCTTAAATTTCTATGAGAGAGGTTCAATAAAAAAATGCAATTTCAATTACGAGGGTCGCTCATTAAGTAATGCCCCACATTTTTTTTCTCAGCCAATAATGAAGATAGAAAAGTGTACTTTTACATGCTTGAGATTTGATGTTTCCCGCGTTCGTGTACGGAGTTTCAAATGATTCCAACCGATAGCGGAGCTGTAGTGAACTGTTAAAATGGCGTCTGTGAACGACTCTCGTTACAAGCAACGAGCTGTAATTGAATTCCTTGTTGCTGAAAAAGAAACGGTGGTGAACATTCATAAACGTTTGTGTGCTGTGTATGGAAGCTGTGCAGTCGATAGGAGCACCGTTGGTCGCTGGGCTAAGAGAGTTAAAGCTTCAGGAAGTGAAGAAACCGAGCTCCGTGATCTGCCGCGCTCTGGGCGTCCTGCCACAGCCACCACTCCAGACATGTTGAACCGCGCGGATGCCATTATTCGTGAGGATCGGCGCATCACAACTCGACAATTGGCCCAACAGCTTTCAGTCAGCAATGGAAGTGTGATTGCAATTATCCAGGCTCTCGCATATTCGAAGGTGTGCGCAAGATGGGTTCCACGAAGTCTCACAGCAGACCACAGGATTCAAAGGAAAACGATTTCTTCTGAATTGTTGGAGCGTTTTGATGCTGAGGGAGAGGTCTTTCTGTCCCGGATCATTACAGGTGACGAAACCTGGATACACCACTTTGAGCCAGAGACAAAAAGGCAGTCAATGGAGTGGCATCATCCTCAATCACCGAGAAAGAAGAAATTCAAGACAACTCCCTCCGCCGGAAAAGTCATGATGACTGTCTTTTGGGACAGTGATGGGGTCATTCTTGTGGATGTGATGCCAAGAGGTGCGACCATCAATTCAGACGCGTACATCAGGACCCTGAAAACCCTCAAGAAGCGTTTTCGACGAGTTCGGCCTCACAAGCATCCAGCAGAAATTTTGCTCCTGCACGACAATGCACGCCCTCACACAAGTCTGAGAACCCGGGAAGAAATCACCAAATTGGGTTGGACGGTGCTACCCCATCCACCCTACAGTCCAGATCTGGCACCCTCCGACTTCCATCTCTTTGGGCCCCTTAAAGATGCTATCCGCGGAACAAGATTTGAAGATGACGAGAGCGTGATTCAAGCAGTGAGGACATGGCTACGGGGACAGGACAAGAGCTGGTACCGGCAAGGCATGCCTGCACTTGTTCCACGCTGGCGTAAAACCGTACAAGTTGATGGGGACTATGTGGAAAAATAGTATGTGTAAAGGAAACATTGATTTATATTGTCACTAAATTTGAGCCATCTTGAATAAATATGTTCTGAGGAAAAAAAATGTGGGGCATTACTTAATGAGCGACCCTCGTACATTAAAAGTGATCTTGATAATATGAATACAAACAAAACAAACCTTTCTGCATGAGAGAGGTTCAATAAAAAAATGCAATTTCAATTACGAGGGTCGCTCATTAAGTAATGCCCCACATTTTTTTTCTCAGCCAATAATGAAGATAGAAAAGTGTACTTTTACATGCTTGAGATTTGATGTTTCCCGCGTTCGTGTACGGAGTTTCAAATGATTCCAACCGATAGCGGAGCTGTAGTGAACTGTTAAAATGGCGTCTGTGAACGACTCTCGTTACAAGCAACGAGCTGTAATTGAATTCCTTGTTGCTGAAAAAGAAACGGTGGTGAACATTCATAAACGTTTGTGTGCTGTGTATGGAAGCTGTGCAGTCGATAGGAGCCCCGTTGGTCGCTGGGCTAAGAGAGTTAAAGCTTCAGGAAGTGAAGAAACCGAGCTCCGTGATCTGCCGCGCTCCCGGGCTCTTGCATATTCGAAGGTGTGCGCAAGATGGGTTCCACGAAGTCTCACAGCAGACCACAGGATTCAAAGGAAAACGATTTCTTCTGAATTGTTGGAGCGTTTTGATGCTGAGGGAGAGGTCTTTCTGTCCCGGATCATTACAGGTGACGAAACCTGGATACACCACTTTGAGCCAGAGACAAAAAGGCAGTCAATGGAGTGGCATCATCCTCAATCACCGAGAAAGAAGAAATTCAAGACAACTCCCTCCGCCGGAAAAGTCATGATGACTGTCTTTTGGGACAGTGATGGGGTCATTCTTGTGGATGTGATGCCAAGAGGTGCGACCATCAATTCAGACGCGTACATCAGGACCCTGAAAACCCTCAAGAAGCGTTTTCGACGAGTTCGGCCTCACAAGCATCCAGCAGAAATTTTGCTCCTGCACGACAATGCACGCCCTCACACAAGTCTGAGAACCCGGGAAGAAATCACCAAATTGGGTTGGACGGTGCTACCCCATCCACCCTACAGTCCAGATCTGGCACCCTCCGACTTCCATCTCTTTGGGCCCCTTAAAGATGCTATCCGCGGAACAAGATTTGAAGATGACGAGAGCGTGATTCAAGCAGTGAGGACATGGCTACGGGGACAGGACAAGAGCTGGTACCGGCAAGGCATGCATGCCCTTGTTCCACGCTGGCGTAAAACCGTACAAGTTGATGGGGACTATGTGGAAAAATAGTATGTGTAAAGGAAACATTGATTTATATTGTCACTAAATTTGAGCCATCTTGAATAAATATGTTCTGAGGAAAAAAATGTGGGGCATTACTTAATGAGCGACCCTCGTACATTAAAAGTGATCTTGATAATATGAATACAAACAAAACAAACCTTTCTGCATTTGTACCTAGTTAATTTTTATTCTTTTTTCAGCAGTGATGATAATGCGACACGTGGCTGATCCACTAACAGAATGCACAAGAAAAAAAACTGTGATCTGATTTTATATTCGGGGGATGTGAAAACTAGTAAAATTTATGGTAGTTTGACTACAGTATTGTGATAAGTGTATAGGTTATGGAATAGTTTAAAGGATGGCAGATGTGTGTTGTTGAGGTTAGATGTTTTGTGTGGCTACTAATTGAAACATGTTTAGGTTAGGAAGCAGATCAATCGGTGCATCCAAGACAACCAAAGAATCAGCACTAGTGAAAGTGCATCTTAAATAATAAGGAGTCATGGGAAAATGTGCAAGAATGGCATTTAATACTGAAGAAATCTGGACATTTGTTGGCTGATGTACCAAATGCATTGAAAAGCAGGGTGATCACACTTCACAAAATTTTTGGCTTGCAGGGTTGCTCCTATAAAATACGATTTACAGAAAAATATGTATGGAAGGTAAAGGAACGTTCCAAAATAAATCAGTGGCTTCCAAACATTTGAACATAACCTGTACGATCTGTAACTTACTTCAAATTTCAAAATCCATAACTCCTACCGCATCTTTAAACGTGAATGGTGTAAAATATTACGACACAGGGCCACATACGTATAAGCTGAATGCAGGAACTTTATATATACTATTAAATGTAATATTAAATACATAAACAAGTTCTGAAATAGAGTGTAGGTTGGACATTTACAAGTCTACCACTTATGATACAATATTAAACAATCACAAACCGAAGGTGGCAAGCTATGTAACAATTACTTACATGAAATTTTGTTAACTGGATTATTAGGTTACGAACTTCAGGTATTATTGCTTCTTTAGCCCTTCCCGCCATACTGTAGTGGAGATCATAGATAACCAGTCTACCAGAGAAATCAATGTGTGTTTGACGCTATTATGTGACCAATGTTTTATGGCAGTTAGTAGGTGGCATATGTTTCTCTTATAACTTCTTTTACTACGGAATTATAAAATGGTTGACAATTTATCAAGACAGGTTAGTGAATGTATATCAGTCATAGCAATACGAAGTCAACGACAGAAACGTGAAGATGACGTTGAAAAAAATTGGTAATGCGCACAATGTGTTTTTTGCTGTATGTAGTCAAGGACATAGTTATACTTTCACAGCCTTAGTGCAGGTTTTATCACATATTTCGCATGTAGGGCTGGTATCGTTCTACAGATTTTGTGGCGGAAATTATGCACTATATGTCAAATGGTGTCATGCCGTCATTCTTAGCGGGTTGCTATAAGTTAATGCATCCGTGACATGGAACTACTGCCTTTCCATTAGTCTTTCTGATGCCCCAGTAGATGGCAGGAATCATCCTGTTTATCAAATCCTGTATGTTCTCAAAAATAGAAGTCTGACATCCAACCACTGTAAACCCTCTTATAAATTTCAAATATCAGAAATACAGTATTCATTCCCACCCAACAAAACACTGTGGTAACATGAAATAATATCAGAATAGTGAACACTATCATAACTTAAAGGTTGTCATCTTACAGGTAGAAGAGATTGAAGCCTTGTGTTCAATATATAGCAGAGAATGGAAAACTGAAGATGAGGTGGACCGTACTTATAGCATAAAAATAGAAGAAGGCATCCAAACTGCTGTTCTGTATGTGACACTACCAGCAGATTATCCTGCAGCAAGTCCACCGCAGTACCAGCTATCTGCACCTACTTTAGGTGCACAGGAGAAAACAAAAATTTCTTCAGAGCTGGATCAAATTTATTTGTAAGAATAATTTGTTTTTATACACAATCTGAACTTATCTCGAGTAATAAAGTTTTTTTATCAAATATACGATTCTTTTAACTTATGCATTTCTTCTAAGTGTAGGAACATTGAATTTTTTTTATATTTCTTACAGTATGAAGTTTTAGAAAAATTATTTTTCAGAGAGAACATTGGGGAAACAGTAATTTTCCAATGGATAGAGAAGGTACGAGAACTTCTCTGCAATATGCAGGCCTCAGAGGCTCCTGAAGAAGAAGATGAAGATGAAAGAGGAGGAGGTTGTAATGAAGTGATGTCTGCGTGTTCTGTGGGTCAGCACATTGTTAGGCCAACCATTATTCATGGCACTGTCATCACTGACAGAAAAAGTGTGTTTCAAGGACATACTGCAATTGTCAGAAATACTGAAGAAGTTTCGTAAGCATATTTAAAGTTATATATATTAAAAAAATTACATTGCTTTATATATTCATTCCATATATGCCAGTTATGACATTTCCCTCTGGCAGGAAAAGATGTTTAAAGAACTTTTTAAACGAAATTAACAGTTGCTGGTGGTACTGTGTGTAGGCAGGTGCTGGAGGAACTCTATCAGAACAAGAAGATAGCACATGCTACACACAACATGTATGCATATCGCATCTGTAAGGAAGACACAAAATGTTGCATACAAGACTGTAATGATGATGGAGAGGCACAAGGTGGAAGCCGCCTGCTTCATTTGCTACAGGTATATTTACGATAGGAGTCAGGATGCTCAGGAAAATTATAGGACTGATCAAACTGGCTGCATGGTGCGATCATGGGTTCGAATCCTGTTCAGGGAATGGATGGAAATAGGTAGAGGTTTCACAAAAGGCTGATCCCCTGCCCAAAGAATCCCACCAAATGTCCAAGACTCACATTCCGAGTGTAAAAGCTAAAAATGAAGAATATATAAGGACACAATTAGAATAGATTCTTAAGGATAAAGTTGTTATAATGTGAAAGTATATATCGTGATATCTTGTGATGGAGTAATTGTATAACAAGTGAATTTGTTTCAGATTCTGCACTTACAGGATATTATGGTGGTCGTGACACGTTGGTATGGCGGCGTTCATCTGGGCCCCGACAGGTTTCGACATATCGGTAATGCTGCCAGACAAGTGTTGGATATAGCTGGTTTAATTGAGCCTAGTAATCAACAGAAGAAAAGTAGGAAGAAGGAGACAAGTTGATCGCGGTACAGCATTTGAAGCTGTGTGCCAAGCCAAAAAAGCTTTATTACTTGTTATGGTGTAAAAGAGTGTGTATGTGCACTTTAGGACTTTGGAATTTGGTATGATAGTTCATATGAATAAAAGATACATAAACCGAGACACCAGAGACGTTTCCTTCTTGAGCCCCAGTCATGAGTATGTTTCTGTTTTATATGTGACGTGACACGTTACTGGTCCCGGATGTGGTTTTAAACCGTGACACCTCTTCCTCTGAGAGCAGGTTAAAAATTCTGAACTGGATAGCTCAGTCAGTATAGTGACTAGCTACGGGCTGGACGGCCGTGGTTCGATCCCCGACGGGGGCAGAGGATTTTTCCTCTAGCCTCTACCTCCAGACCGGCTCTGGGGCCCACCCAGCCTCCTCTACAATGGGTACCGGGGTCCTTTCCCGGGGGTAAAGCCGGCCGGGGCGTGATGCTGACAACTCACCCCCATCTAGTGCCGAGGTCAAGGAAGAGAGGAGCTATACCTCCACTCACCCCAAACGCCTACATGGCGTATAGTGGGACAAACTTTACTTTACTTTACTGGATTAAAACAGGAAGAACAAAGGGTCAAATATGAGCGATTCTTTCATGAACTGAATAATAAAGTAATTTTGGAATCCTATCAGCGTTACCAATGTTTCTTTCTTCTTGTTAATTTATCTTAACATAACCCTGGTACACGAAACGTAAACGCTGTTACTCATTTCATCTGACGAACCATCGAGTTCGCTAACCAGTTTTGCTGACCTCGATTCAGCAACAAGCAAGGATAAAGCGGTAATTCCCACAGTTGTACGTTCTAATATCCAGTAACGTGACGGGATTTTCTCGACCGCAAGAGATAACGGTTTCAAAACATCTCGACCGTCAAATCTCCATTCCCATCACGAACATAAACGAAACCTTGTACAAGTAAACATTGTCGAAGTCCACTTCACAAAATTACACCACAAACAATATTTAAATAGTGTTTGCTAGTCTAGCGGTTTGTTCCTTAGAGGCACTGGTCATTCAATATGGTTAAGACTGGGAATGTCGCAAATGTGGGGCAGAACATTTTCATAAAGGATTTCGGTGGGGAATCATGTTGGAAAACATTCACTTGGAAGAGCGATTAGAAAAATGGTACACAGTTGTTAATAGGGGACGATTAATTAGCACTTAAAATTGTTAAGTATCTACCAAGAGTTCGTAATGACTTAACAAAAGTTCCAGGCAGTAACCTTCTTTTAAGCACCGTCAGATCCATACGCAAAGAACCAAGGAAATGCAAAATTCCTTGATTGGTGTCGTCAAAGTGTTGAGATAGGCAATCAGGGGGGCCAGTCACACTTTATCGCATTAAAACCTGACTTGCATTTAGTTTATTTGCCGAAATTAAAGTTCATCCTCTGTATCCATCTATTTACGCCTAAATTTTCTGAGTGGATTCTTTCTTCCACGTTCTTCAACCAAAATATTACATACATTTCTCACCTTACTCGTGCGTCCCTCTGAGATCCACTGTTCTCAGCAGCCTGTTGTTATATACCACTTTCTAATGTGATACCTGAACTTCGAATAACTTAGCAAATGTAGCATTTTTCTGAAACAAATTAACACAAGGGTAAATGAAGTATACAAAATACCACACACGGTTATTTTAAAATATGTGTAGTCCATTTGGAGTACTATATTCCGTCAAGAACTGAACGCAATGACGCCAATTAAAATACTGGTTTAGACTACTGTTTTATGACGAACATAAAATATTCTCGTGCGTACAACACTGGCCTCTGGAAGTCCACGATACGTATCCCCACTAACGTAACCTGTGGCTTTTTAAGCTGTGGGGAATGCCCGTGTATAACACAGCAGCAATCTAAAGCACGACAGCAAATTCATTTATCAGTTACGTAAGAAAAGCAGCAGATAGTTTCCAGTTGCCTAAAGTGTTGGACTGCGCAGAGGTCACGCCGAGGTAAAAGGAGGAAGATGAGTTCTTTTATGGTACGTACAAGTGTTTCCTACACAGGCTTCACATGGCGACATTACACTAAGCCTATAGGTCAATATCTCACGACGTATCAAATCGTGTTTATGTTGTAAAGGAATATATACACTTACACACTAAAAATAAATGACTAACCTAACCTTTAGTATAATACAAGACATGTTTTGCATCAGCGATCAGGCCTCTAACTCATGACCGACGTGTGACAATGTGCTGTTTAGTCATGAGTATGCAGTAATGATGAAATGATGATTGGCAGGGTAAAATCTAATAAGAACTAAGAGAATAAATCTGCTTCAATAGCCCTGATCGTCGCACTTGCGACTTTACATTAACCTGAAATGAAAAGCCATCGAAAAAATGGCCATTGCCCACTTTAAAGCAGAAACATGTTTTGTTGTTCGCAGGGAGCACTCGCCAAAAATGGTAGATCACTCTCACGAAATATGACATCATCTGTGCTGAGGGGTAATAGCAAGTGAGTACACATAACTCGTAATTTTAAGAAGAGAATATCGAAAGAGAATGGCAATTTAAATGTGCCCCTCAAAAATTACGTTGGCACCATTGAAAACGCTGGCGGAATTAAACAATATTATTATTCATTCCCCTATTTCTATATAGCTGATTTTAATTTCATTTAGAGAAACGGTAAGATTGTGACATTATTATTATTATATCTGCTCTTTAGTAGAATGTATTACAAATGAACAATTTGTTTGTGAACCGAGAGTGTGGAAAACTACTAACATTTTAACCAGTGGAGTGTGGTAGAATGGTAAAAAAGAAGATCGGTGAGTGTTGTTGATGGCTGCCATCGACTGTAACACGTGTTAAAGTTAAGGAGCAAACGATCAGCGTGTCCGGAACAACCGAAGAATAAACATTAGCGAAAATTCATCTGAAAATTTCATCAGTTACGAAAAGCAGTGAAAAACGTTTCAAGGTCAACCGAAAACATTTTATTTAGACAGAATCACTAAACGTGTGGGCTACAGGACTAAGTTTGTTAAAGAGCAAAACAATTGCATAAAAACTGCTTACAACGTCCGCCTTACTTTTGCATATAAGCATAATTTTTAACACAGTATAAACCAAAATAAGCTTCTATTATCGGAACGTATCTCAATACAAGAAGAATGTCTCTTTGACTCTGAAGGCACAACAACCAATACAGTATACGGGTAAATTGGCATAATTTCATGTCTGTTTACGTCGAAATTCGGCGTTTTTCTCGTTTCAGGGCGAAGAGTGGAGACATCCATGTCCAGCAGGTGCCTGAGAGCCGTTACCGTGACGTGCTGGACCATATCACCCCGATCTTCCTGCAGGATGAGCCCCTGTCTCAGTGCTTCCCGCACTGCACCACAGGACAGAGAGAACGGGATTTCCACGAATACGCGGAAACGCAACTGCGCAGTGGCCTGTGCGTCATGGCGCTAGATGGATCCACTGTCGTCGGTGCTTGCCTTAGCCGGCCTTTAAAAAGAGACCAGGTGATCGGGTGTTCAATACCACCCTCTGATGATCCAGGTATGACCTTGAATTTGAAATCGTTGAGTACTCATCTGAATTCAGACATTCAATTGCACGACTAAAACAAATAGGTGGCGAGAGTGATGCTGGCTGCTTTAACTCTCATCACGTGACAATGTCCCCTCGAATATCGTCCTTTTTTTCAACCATCTCGTTTGTTACAGCTGAAGACCCCCTAATTGCCAATGTAGCGCGCATGCTTATAACAGTTCACCAACAGCTGAACCTCTTCGAAACTCTTGGAGTTGACACATTCTTCGAGGTTGGACTATTATCTGTGGAGCCTTCACACACAGGAAGAGGTAAGAATACTTGTTACGAATGCTAATGTCATCTCTGGATCAAATATAAATTTGAGGTACTCTAAAAATTGATATGCTCGATGGATGTGATCCCACAGGATTGGCTCTGAAGATGGCGCGAGCTAGTCTGGAACTGGGGGCCTCGCAAGGGTTTCGGGCAGCAAAGGCCGACTGCACCAGTGCGGCGTCAGCTAGTATTATGGGGCGGACCGGCATGATGCCTGTCCACAGGTTGCTGTACGACGAGTACAAGATTGATAATAGAGTGGTATTCAAGAAGACGCCGATAAGAGGTCCTGCCCTGACAGTGATGGCTGCCAGGCTGCAAGATATACAGCCACACGTTCTACCAGTTGAAATAAAGTCTAAAATATGATTAGGCCCAAACTTGATGCTGATTATAACTTCACGGGTTGGCAACATTCGACCCGCCAGCACACGATTCTTATGACGTGCCAACTTACATAATAAAAATTGTTATAAAATATCAGAAAACGTTTTTGTTCATCTGGAGAAAATTATATAATTCATACGTCAGCGAGTAATCTGCAGATAAGACCACTCTGTGTGGATGCATTTATACCGTTGCACTCGCGAGTGATTTGTCCGTCAGCACGGGGCAAATCGCTCACACTAAACAGTGTTTAATCACGTCTAGTGCACACTGGTCGTTATCATCAGCTTCCAGCTCGCAGGTTAAAGATTGTTTTGTGGTTATTATTACACATGTTATTTTCAAATTCATTTGATTTATAGGCAATTTACACAAAAAGTCGTACAGTATCTGTGTATGAGCTGTGTTTTAACTTTTTATACGAAGGTAAGTATGTGAGAATGAAAAAAATAGGAAATTTTAATGTGCCTCAGAAGCGATGTTAGCAACACTGAGAAACGCTGTGAACATTATAAACCTGTGCTTAATTAGAATTTGAAGTTTTCACGGCAGCGAGTATGAAGATGTCTGTCTTCTGGGTTGTTGCGCTGTGTAGTCTGGTCGATGTTAACCAACGTTTTAGAGGTCATACTGTCTCCATCATCAGAGTATGACGATTTCTGTATTCTGGGTTGTTGCGCTGTGTAGTCTGGTCGATGTTAACCAACGTTTTAGAGGTCATAGTGCCTCCATCATCGCCCTGATGCTACAATGACACAATGCGTCAGAAGAACAATTGTGATCTGACTCTTAGAAAAACTAGAGAAATTTATGGACGAATGACAATTCAATATGGCGATAACAACATGGGTCCTATATACGTAATAATCATTATATCATTAGTATTAGATTTCAGGTTCTTAGGGCGGCGGACAAGCCCCTGATGATGGAGGCAGCAAACACTTCTGAAACGTCGGTAAACTTGTCAGACTTGCCACAACCAAAAATACAACCATTTTCCTATTCATCTACCTACCACGGTTTGTAGTCAAGCACGTTCTGACCTCATCGCTTTTCCGTAATAGTCTCCGTGTTAAAGTGACGTTCGTACGTTGACCGTCCTTTCGTTCACAGAACCAAGTGACCCAGGATGAACTTCCGGACTCGCCTTCTAAGGTCAGGGCTGCGTCTGACGTGCAGGCATGAGCGTCTTCTGAGCGTTTCGAAACACGTCATTAAGTCGCCGTTACCTGACGTCACTTTACCGACCGTATCTTTGTCAGATTATGTGTGGCAACGGGTCGACCAGTGGCCGAACAAAGTGGCCTTCGTAAGTAACACAATTATACACACAGCCAGTGAAGGTGGGCCGATATGACAACAACGCGATGGGAACAGCCCTGGAGCAGAGAGAGAGCAAACCAGGATACTGAAAGCTGCATATCGAGTTCTGGGGAAGAGATAACCACTGACGATGAAATTGGCGGGGCGTGTGGAACCCTGGAGACGTAGATCAGAAATGTACTAAAATTTTGGAGCAAAATCAGAAGTAAAGAGACCTGGGGCATATATGGGCGGGTAATATTGAATTGGATCTGAAATAAATATGGCGTGAGGTGAAATTCATTCATCTGACTCAAGAATGGGTGCTGTGACGCATTAAACAGCTTGTCAATAAATAGTCTGTCCCACAGAGTGAAAAGTTTCAAACCAGTTTCGAGGGAATTTAAACACGGCTGATGGACATGTTACACGTAGGAAAAGGTAGATGATTGTTCTTTGGACATTTAAGGACTTGTTACTTTCCTGGCGAATTGGAAAGGATGGGAAAGAAACCAAACGGCGGGACCCCCAAATACGAAGCAAGGGAAGGGCAATCCATATGATTGCATTTGGTCAAAAGCCTGGTTCACAATTAACTGAGACCAGTGTCGCTAACAATTTATTTCTTAATATTTTAATATTTTCCGTCAAATCACAATTTTAATAAGATAATAAAATATTTAAAATATCATTTCACGTTCCGCATCGAATGATCGATTTACAAATTGGAACGTCTCTTACGACATGTTTCGGTTATATTTAACCGTCCTCAGGTATAAATTAGATTGGTAAAATTTAAAACTCGAATTACAATCATTTACAATGTTATGCAGTTTATTGAAATGTTCTTATCAGATTACGCTTATATATTAGAACGAAAGTATTGTTTTTTTATATGGCGTGGTTTATCTGATGTTCAATATTAGTCTGTAAAGCAATGATTTAAATAAAACATTAATAAATTCTTGTGGATTGTAATCAACTGATACAGAACAGTTTCACTGTGCACTTAATTTCGTAAATCGGGCATTACTAACCAACTTCTTGTCACTGTCTTGACTCCCGTGACTAGGAATGCGGCGTGACAGGCCGTCGCTATAGGTACGCCGAGGCGCGCGACCTCTGTCGGCGTTTTGCCGCATCTCTGCGCCGAGCAGGTCTGCAACCAGGCAACACACTCACCATAGTGATGCCCAACACAGCGGAGTGGCCGATCGTATGTCTGGGTGCTGTGGAGGCAGGACTTGTCGTCTCTACTGTCAACCCGCACTCCACCGCCGGTAAGCAAACAGTGGTCGCCATCACGCCAGCGAAAATAACCACTGTGACATATCTTAGATTTCCTCACGGTGGCGAGTCTGAAGATGCCTGTCTTCTGGGTTGTTCCTTCCTGTAGTCTGGCAGAAATTTTTCGTCCTGACGATGGACGCAGAAAGCACATCTGAAACGTCAGCAGACTTCTGCCAGACCACACGGCGCAACAACCCAGAAGACAGCCATCTTCAAATGTCAACATAGTCTTAACCTTGAAGTCATTAATTCAAAATTAGCGTGTTCCTCTTAAGTGAACAATTCTGAGATGACGGAACCCGAAGGATCAACCAAAGCTCGGCACTAGTCACGATCCTAAGCCAGTTCTGTCCACTTCCGATCCTCACGAGATGTCCCAAAGATTCGTCTTAACCAAGTGCTTCTTCCAGAGGAGATCACACGGCAATTGAGGGACTGCGATCCACGAGCAATAGTGACTCTGTCCGCCATTCACAGCACAGTCCAGGAAGCCGTCACACTGGCTGGCACACAAGTGAAACCGCTCATCGTCATCGCTCCGGGAATCGAACCTGGGTCTGACATTCCTACTGGAACTGTTGACTTGGCACAGATGCTTCAAGACGGCGTCGATACTTCAGGGGTGGGTTTTGATGTTAACATTGAAGACACTGTAATGCTGCCGTACTCCAGTGGGACAACAGGGCTGCCCAAAGGAGTAATGCTGAGCCACAGAAATGTAGTTTCCCACATCGCACAAAACAACGATCGGCAAGAGATCTGTATCAGCGAGCCTGCCCTAGGTACGGTCCTTCATTTTGTATAATCAGTTTCACCGTGAGGCGTTCGGGAGGTACTCGGTTCGAATATCGACTGATTTCCTGATTTTCCTTAGTCTCCCCAATGAATGATGGAACAGTAGTCATCTTAAGATAGCCAATAACAAGCTAAGGCGGTAAGTCCGAAGTCTGGTCGAAGTTTCAGAGGCCGTTTCTGTCTCCAGGTTCCCACCAGGAAGTGACGCCTGTGGTTCTGCCATTGTTCCACGTCTTCGCCCTACACATGGTGCTTCTACCTAAAATAACCCACGGTGCCAAGTTCGTCATGCTGCCTAGATTTGAACCCGGCCCTTTCTTCAAACTGCTAGACGAACATCAGGTAACGCAAGATTCTCAACTACGTCCATGTATCTTTCGATGTGTCGATGTATCTTTCTGCAAAGACGCGGTACACGTTTAGTAAGCACACTTTGAAACACTGGCACTCCTCAGGTATGTCGAAACATCAGCTGAAAACTATCTTCTCACGAAGAAGGCCCCAATTTTTCCGTTCATGACCGGAGACCACAGCAACTTCTTGTCCACAAAGGAGGCCATGATAAATCTGATAATAAGTTGAAGCTACGTCATATTCTTTGTCTGGCAGTTGTCGACAGAAAACGAATCGGTCACAGTTCTATCCTAAAGTGGCATGAGGCGATTTGTAGATTTTAACAACCGGGATTGGTTAGCTTCATCCCCAGGGAGTGTTCGGTGATGCGAAGATATAATACCGGATGGACTCCAGAGTCAGTGGACTAGTAGCAAATATAAAATTGCTGCCTCTGCTGGGAATCAAACCCAGCTTGAAGTCACTGTCTTCAGTGACTGAGCGATGCTATCACATTCCGTTAAACTTTCTGTTTAGGTCTTCATTGTGTTTGCACGTAGAAATGTTCTTGTGATAGAAGTTTTGTGGCTTTCCCATCATTTAAACCAGGGGTGGCCAACCCAAATGATCTTTCGGGCCACTTTGGAAATGCATCATAACTCCGCGGGCCACATATAAAATTATATATCCCCATATTAGATTTAGATACACTATATATTCGCAAGAATATTATTTTAAAATCAAAGTTAATTTTTTCTCATAATTTCGACAGATAATTTTTGAATATATGGATGCACAAATAATGTATTTTTTTAATACATTGGTTTTCACTACTTTGGCCATTATAAAATAAATATATTTTGTAAAAGTGTGATGAATCTCGCGGGCCGGAAAAATGTTCAAGGCGGGCCACATGCGGCCCGCGGGTTGGCCACCCCTGATTTAAACCCTTGAAGCAGACATTTTTGTAATATTTACTGTGCTTTTCTTGTGCTGATTTTTCATTCTGTAACACAGTTTTAGTCAAAAGACTGAATCCTTTCTGTTATCGGCCTCTGTACAGGTGACTGTGATGCATCTGGTGCCACCACTTGTGATGTTTCTGGCTTCGCACCCCGGCGTCAGACCGAAGCACTTTCAATCACTACGATATATCCTTTGTGGGGCGGCTCCTATAGGTCGCCTCGACGTGGAGCGACTTTTGAAGAGGGTGCCACCAACTACCAACTTCCTTCAAGGTAACACCTGCCAGTCGTCAGAGATGTGCCGACGTTTCGGAGGTGCTTACTGCTTCCAGGGCGAACACCCTCGTGTTGGAGGCAGTAGGCAGCTCTCAGAAGTAAAGAAAAACAACAGAGTTCTTCCTGTGCAGCTTACGGAATGACGGAGACGTTGCTGGCTACCTCGCAGACGACCAACGGCAGTAACAATTGCGACTCGATCGGCGTGCCGGTCCCCAACACAGAGATGAAAATTGTAGACGTGGAGACAATAACTAACCTGGCTCACGGGGAAATGGGCGAGATCTGCATCCGCGGACCGCAGGTGAAAATCAGATACGTTAAGAAAATTACATAATGAGAAACTCTGCACTTGTACACTTCGCCAGATGTTAGTCAAATCAAAGATGTGAGATTCTGTGGGCATACAGAATGCATGGATAGATGAGGGATGCATACAACATTTTGGTTGGTAAGACTGAAGGGAGGATATCACACGTTTTTAAACAACAAATTCGATTTTCATTAGTTTTATCCGACTTGTATTATGTCTCAGGTTATGAAGGGTTACCTAAATCAACCACAGGTGACCTCAGAGACAATCGATACTGACGGCTGGGTACACAGTGGCGACCTGGGCCACTACGACGAGAACGGTCATTTCTATGTCGCGGACAGACTGAAGGAACTCATCAAAGTGAAGGGCTATCAGGTAACTCAGATCTGACGGAAGATGTCTTGTCAGTGAATCCGACAACTTGACAAAGCAGTGAAGCAAGATGGCCCGCATTTAAAGAGCATCTGAAGATCACTTCACCTTTAAATTTACCAGAGAAAGGATTTGTAGTTTTGTCACTTTAATAAACTGCATGTAATCACATGCCAAAGTACGAACCCAGTAACGACAGGTGACAGAATTAGAACAGAGAAAGATGACGACTGTAAACAAATTATTTCCTCTTACTACACGACTTAATTACGTAAGTAGTCACAGCACTTATCTCGTCTTGACTTTTTAATTTTACTGCAGCATGGAAGTGACGTAACTAGAAGCCATTGCAGTCGTCCTTACTTATTTTACCACAAAACAGAAGTGACGTAACTAGAAGCCATTGCAGTCGTCCTTACTTATTTTACCACAAAACAGAAGTGACGTAACTAGAAGCCATTGCAGTCGTCCTTACTTATTTTACCACAAAACAGAAGTGACGTAACTAGAAGCCATTGCAGTCGTCCTTACTTATTTTACCACAAAACAGAAGTGACGTAACTGTACTGACTTTTACATTTACTACTCTTCTTAACATAGGTACCGCCAGCAGAACTGGAGGAGATTCTGCGCAGTCATCCTGACATTGAAGATGCAGCAGTAAT